CTTTTAGAAATGGTACACTAGGCATTTTTCAGTGACTATATAACCCCACTCACCCCACCCCCACTCCAATCCCCACTTTCAACCTGGTCTTTAAGGTCTTTGAGGGCAAAGAATCTGTCAGCACATGGTATGTAGTCAATAAAGAGCTGTCCATTTGCTTAGCGCTTGATGAGGGCAGCATCTATTTTTGGTCATGTACCAGCAAATTTATATCTGGGATGGATAGTAGCCTCAGCAAGCTAAGAAATGAATCCTCTGGCTACTTTGTGAGCACTGGGTTATCCCCTTCTGTTTCTCAATGGGTAGATGGAATCTGGATGAAAGCCTACTAAGAGAACTTCGGCGTGGCTTCTTTTCAGGCCTGTCTAATGAAACACCCTGCCAGCAGCAACTGAAATTCTACTTAGTATGAGTCACCCCATGAGTCACATGGGTTGTCACAGCAACCTATTAACCATATAACCAAAGCACCTTCCATAAGCTTTGCCAAGAATGGCTCCTGAGTTTTCCTGGACTGTGAAAATCATATGGGTGGGCCCCGACTTTGGTGGTGTTAAGAGGAATGGCCTCAAGGACAAGAAAAGAAAATGAGAAAATAAGGCTATTTTAGTTCTTGGACCTCCTGAGTAAATGGCAACAATCGTGACAAATTGTTGGGTTGGTTTTGTGATATCAACAAATGCCTAAGGAGAGGAGGTTGAGGCCTCGAAACTAATTTTCTCTAAGTCAAATTCAAAGCCAAGTCTCTAGGGGTGAAAAGTGAATACATTAACCTATTCCACTTTAAATGACCGTGGTAAACACTCTTTTCTTTTTACAGATACAAAGGATTATTTCTCAAGGAAATATTCTGATTTGTACTAAAATATTTTTACTACTGAGAGCTAGGATCTCTTTATAAAGAATACAGTACTTTAATTTTATATGTTAGGTATCAGCCTACCATAAGCAAACATTGGAAAATGTCCTGAGTCATTTTTAATGGCTACTCATGTTAGAATTAAAATATTTCAGATGTTTCAGAAGCATATTTTGTTTTGCTATTTTTTGAGGAAAACTGATATGAACTCAGATTAAACGGATACATTTTCCTGACTGCTCACGGAGTCCTGTGCAGTTGTCACGTGATTGTAAGTGCCTGATCCTGAGTATAGAAGAAAGCAAGCAGAACAGACTTAAACAGGAAGAATAAAGAATATAAACATGAATGAGAACAGGAAGAAGTCACAATGATCTGTTGCCTCTGCAAACTCTCCAGAGCCCACCCAAAATCATTTGGGTCTACATTGTGGTGATTGGCTGATATATTCCCTTAGGTTCTTGACTCCATGATGCTAAACTTCCTAGCAGCTTGATATAACTAAGATGATTCATTGCATTTTTCTTTTACATTTTCACCACCAAATTTGTCATATTATATAATTTTAGTATATGCAGAACTATCCAAGTAGAATTAGGTTAAAAAGTCAGGGGCAAATAACCAATTGTCCTTGGCAAATAAAAACCAAAACAGCAGCTGATGCCATGAAAAAGTTACTTATCCAACATGGTACCATTTCAGCAGGAAAGAGACCAAAACAAACTTGTGAAACACCAAAGTAAAAGCAATCTTTAAAGCGTCCAACCAAACATAGGTGCTATATAATCACCACAAAGATTAAACTGAAATTCTACATCACGGTGTAAAACATATCTGATATATCCCTACCCCACAAGTAAACACTTCCTTTTCTGTTCACATACCAAAACCAACAGCAACATTTCCTATCAACAATTGAAGAATATCACAAATGAAAGCACTCTTTGACCAATTTGGTCATGATGACTTAGTACTAGAAGGCCCAAAGCTTTGCCTTCCCCCATTGGCCAAGTAAACCTAATGACAAACACCACCAGGGCTTTTCTCAGGAACTCAGGAGAATCTGAGTTCTCCAAAGACCACGTTTGTGAATTCCTCTGAAGCTGATAATCTGATTTCCTTTCCTGGGAATTTCTGGCTCAACTCACCCAAAGCACTTTTATTTATTTATTTTAAAGGAAGCAATACCTATGCTTTCCAGATAACAAGGTAGCCTAAAATATTATCAGGTGTCACATCGATTCAGGTTCATTTTGTAGTTCTTGCAACCTCTGACTGGTGTACCTGTGAGCTGACACTCTAGTCTGATAATATATTCTGCAACTGTACATGTTAATTTGTAAGTTGAACCATCTCTCTGTGAGGGCAGTTAGGAAACCCAGATTGAAATTGCTAATGTGGGGTGACTTCAGCTGTCGATGACTATGTAGTCAAGCCTTGACCATGGTTTCCAGAACTCTGGCTAAAAATGGAAGTCTTGAGACAGTACAAAAATGAATTCATTCACTTCACTGGTAGTGAAATTTTTTGAAGAACAGATGTCAAGATGATTTAAGAGGAGCTGGAATTTAACATCTTAAGAAAACTTATAGGCAAGTTAGGACAGTTCAGTTTTCAAGAAAAATCCGACAGATGCTAAAGAAGAAGTCATTTGGGTGACTGTTATTGGAGAAAGAACTGATTGATTTTCTTCCTCCTCACAAGTTGTAGGCCCTGTAGAGATGCTAAGATCAGAAATATGATGGGTTGTCTGCTGAGTTGGGTGACAAAAACAATTTTATGTCCACATTTAAGTGGCATAGAAGACTTTAATTAACACGCCAACTTGGACAATTCAATTTCTCCTTGGCATGTGCAAAGTCTTGTGTCATCTGTCTGTTCACTTGCTATTTTTCCCAAGTCGTCATTGATCTGTTTTATCATGGGCCCTCTCTCCTCAATCATGAAAGTAAAGATCAACCAAAAACTAAGATGATTTCTGATCTCTTTGGGTCAATTTAACATTTAAATTACATAAAGTGAGCTTTATTTTAAGTCTTTCTACATGTATTTTATGCTTAACGTCTAAGAATTTTCCTGCTGATTTCCATAGTTAGAAAGGCAATCAAAATCTACACACTCTGGCTACATCTTGATTTTTGTTTTAAAGCAGGTGTACCTGATGGAGTTGGCTAAGCCTTTGCTGCATGGCCAATCTGGTTCTATTTCCTCTTCCTGGAACACCAGTTTTTCTTCACTAGCCACCAATCTCATGCTGTCATCCAAATCTTTCTAGGAATTTAAATCTAACCACAAGTTATTGTTTCTACAATAGGCCAATGAAGTAGTTCTCAAGGATGACACTTCCTTGAAGGTCCTCATAGATGGATGGTCTCTATATTTACTAACATCTCTGGTCTCTGTCTTATTGAGGAGCACTCTTTGTATCGAATGGAGTTGAACTAGTGGTTTTATCCACTTATCCAAGAGCCAAGTCATAATGCAAACAGTCAGTGGCTTTCTGTGTATTGCCAAGTGGCCAGGAGTCCATACCCCAAACCACCATAAACAGTAGGCATAATCATCCACTCCTGTTCGGGAGAGGCCCAGGACTGAGCTAGCAGAAAGACTGAATTACTTACCACCTCTAGAGTGGGTCCCTCCAGGCCAGGGACGAGCTCATGGGCAAGGCTGTGCAAGGAAGCGCTCTGTACCATGCCTGCCCTGCGGATATACAGAGGACTTCAGTCTCCTGCACTGTCAATCTCTCAGTCATCATGAGCTCAATTATGCACCGACAACAGCAAGAACAACAACAACGACGACGACAAAACAACCCCCAAAAAGCTAAGGGCCACAGACTACCGTGATGGAGGGACAGCCAACTGGAACTGTGCATTGAGAGATGGAGGTGCTGTCCTGATCATGCGTCCATTACGGACCTGACCTTTACATCTTTCCTCAAACAAACATTCCATTGAAGCCCACGGGAGAGCCACGTGGAGAGACTGCAGGACTGGGCCCTAAGAGTCAGGCAACCATCGAATTTGGTAGGGTGTTTTTTGGTTTGTTTTTTTGTTTCTGGTTTTTTGTTTTTTGTTTTGGCCTTTTTGTTTGCTACAAATACAGATAGACAGACAGACAAACCCAAGAGCAGATTTCAAGAATCAACTGAGGCACAAGATAAACTACTTTGCTGTTACACAGATATTTTTACCCCAAATGTTTCACATGAAACCAAAAATTTTAAAAGCGTAATTAGGAAAAATTTGGGGGCACATCTTTGTCGGCCCTAAATTGTGCCATAAATATCTCTACCGCTTGCCTTAGAAGGATGCCCAAGCACATCTCATGGGTAGCACATATCTGTGGTCTAAAATAGTTATCGAATTCTGATGACACTATTAATTCACAGTCTAAGTATGCTGGTCAAGTACAGTGAAAGTTGACTGCCTGCATCAATGACGGATTAGTTTCATCCTGAGGTTCAAAGCACAGTCAAACATTATTGCTCGGATTGCAAAGTCACAACACTTTACATTGATGTGAGTTTGTAAACTTATGGTATAGTTCGAATGAAGGCAACTGATGAAAGCAGTTGAACCTGAGAAGTGGGGATGAATACAGAGTGTAATTCCAGCGCACATTTCCACATCAAAATACCAATGCCATTTACCTGGGCCCACGTGAGCCACACTCATGGTCGAGCGACAGCACCTATATTCCCAGTCAGTATCTCTGCTCCACAGACACAAGTACAAAACGGCCTAAATCGTGAACTAGTGGTGAGGAAAAGGAGACCAGAGTTTAAAAGAAATCAAGGTGATGTTTCCTAGAAACATACCAGCTGAAGGATCCAGAATAGGGGTGATCAGTAAGTAATTAATTGATCCTCCTGACTAGGTTTGATGATTTTTCTAAAGACTAATGACTTGGCTCACTAGAATTCATCAGACTACGTCTAGACTCTCTTTAACACACACTCAGTACAAACAGGTGGAGATGTACCACTTCCGACCACTACAGGTAGAGAAGTATGACCTCTGTTGACCATGGATCACAGCTGAAACATTAGTTTATACTTGAAGGGTCACAGCAGCCAGACATATGCGAATTCCAACTCTTCAGAAAACTTTGGGTTAAAAAAAAATGCATTACTTACATGTATGCGTCTTCTTCGTTACTGAGATACCTAGAAGAGAAGAAATAATGACAAAGGTAAGATAGCGTCCTGTGTGTGCTTCTTGGAACACACATCATGCATAGAGTAGTCAGGAATGCATTTGTTCAGATGGTGATGCAGAGGCAAGATCAGGCTTAATCTTGGCTGCCAGTGGCGCTGGACCTACCCCAGAACAACAGAACCGTGGATGACAGGGACGGCAAGCATCACCCACTGGTTTTCTGTGGTAAAAAGGAGCAGCGTGGACAGTAATTAAACAGAGTGAGGAAAGACTCTTAGTTTTCACTTTAAATAGGGGAGATGATCGCATTTATAGGCAGTGTGGGGAAGATTTAAGGCACGAGAGAGTGATGCCAACCTACGCAGACAAGAGTGAGCTGAGCACCAGAGCAATTCATTTGCTCTGGCCATTGATTCTGTGTTTACTTTTTAATGAAAATGACTCTGCCGGCTCACATGAAGCATACCTTTTTATGTTGAAGGAAAAAACCTCTACAAAACATACCTATCTGTCCATACTCATTAAAGTCAGAAGGGGAACGGCTGCTGCTTCTCCATGAGCAGCACCAAAATGAACATGAACTGTATGAAAACACGAGGGATTCATGAGTCAGCACCCTTGATGCTTCCAAGATGATTTACGGAGAGCAGGTGACAGACGAACGAGACTAAGCAAGATTCAGCACATAAGACCACATAAAGATACGGATGCGTGCTTTAGTGCAAACAGTGCTATATCTCTGTTTCAGAGGGACTCCATTTTGAACTCCTTACGCTCTGTTCCTCTTGGGGGAGATTCTTGAGACTAAATAGCCTCAAAGTAATACAACTCTTCAAAACATTTAGCCTGTGACTAAGAACTGTGGTAAACCTTGACATTTTTTTTCTTTCAAGTTATTAAGAGAACTATTTAACCCTCCTCTGGAAAGTAAAAGTTGTTGAAAAATTTGGCCCCCACATCAGACCCATTACTTAGCTATGGAACAAATCGTACAGGGAAGAAATCCGTTATGAAAATCCATGGTAGACGTAAAAGAAAAAAAAAAGTTAGTTCCAAAGTTGCGTGCCAAGACCAAAATCACACGCTTGCTCCCCCAACAACTTTCCAAAGGGCTTATTTAGGGAAGCTGAAATTACATAGCTCAACTCAAATTCTTTTTTTTCCCCCCTTTTTATTGAGGAAAACTAAACCATTGTTTTTCATCATGTTTGAGTTGGCTTCTCAAAGTAAAGTTAGAACCTTCTGCGAAGAGCCTTGAAAGCTCTCTCACATGGGAACTACAAAAATGTTCCAGAATCTTTTGAAATAAGCTTTATCATGGGAAGGGAACTTCCCCCAGCAACAACTGCAGTGAAGTTTAAAATCTGAATACAATTTGCAACTCCAGCTCATGACACCAGCACCAATAAATTGATACATTAGTGCTCTTTCAGCATTATGAGGGCTATATGTGTACTTTCCTTAGGAAATAATGCTTTCTGTAAAATCACTTTGAAGAGAAAGTGCTTATGCTGTCACTCCTGATTATTCAGAACCTCCAAACAATTGGATTTAACACAGCCCAAAACAGACCTATCTATATTCGCTGAGTGTGGAACTATTTTCTCCTGACATCCAAAGCCCTGATGAAAATACCACTGCTTTGACTTTTCTACTTAAATTTATTATACAGCGTGATGCACTGTTCTCATCAAATATTTTCATGATGATTACATTGATAATAGATTCTGAAAATCTTTCCAGGAAAGCTGCCTGATCTTTGAGATCACAGTGGCACAGGACTAAAACTACGCACATCTGTCTCCAGGAGAAGGCATGACCCCAGCATCAGTACCAACTCCGGCCCTCAGTTTGGCTAGCTGCCACTTAGTGATCAAGATAAAGAAGTGGGGGATATACCTAAGTACAAGTTGCCAGAGTTAATAGATAAAACAGAGGGTGCCAGTGAAATATGCATTTTGGATACTACTTCATTGTGTATCTGAAATTCAAATTTCACTGGCTATCTTGTATTTTATCTGGCAAACATAACCCATACGTTTATAATAAAACATAAATTATATCTGTTATATATAGTGAAGATTATCACAATAAATTAATAGTAAGTTTTTATGGAGAAAGGCTTAAAAACACACCTCTCTTGTGAAAGAAATATTTTTCTTTTCTTTCTTTTTTTCTTTTTGAGAGGGACAGAAAGAGAGTGAGAGAGAAAGAGAGAGCAAATCTTAAGCAGGCTCCATGCTCAGCTCAGAGCCTGATGCGGGGCTCAATGTCACAACTTTTGAGATCATGACCTGACCCGAAATCAAGAATTGGACGCTTATTTGACTGAACCACCCAGGCACCCTGCAATCTTTTTATAAAAAATGCACTACTGCTAATTATGGAGACTGGACTATGCATAATATTTAATTGTTTTGTTTGTTTTTTACTTAATAGCCATTATGAAGACAAAATTCTATTACCCCCCCAAAAAGCAAGCAAATGAAAACAATGTTAACACTCAAAAGATAAATTTAATGAAATGATGAGAAAGTTTACTGGCATTCCCTTCCTCTTCCTATGAAAAATAACATTGGTGATCACATTAACATCTCGAATTTGTGTTGCTCCTTTGTCTGTAGAAGCTCTAATACCTCATAGTAACTGACTCCACAGAAGTGTGAAAAAAAAGAAAAAGCATAAAACATCCTCATTTCACAGATGGGTCAGTTGAGGCTCAGGGAAGTTTCTTAGCACAATAAAAAGCTTTCTGTGGGAAGTTAATATCCTTCTGGATGCGCATCCATGGCTCATATTTCAAAACCCTGGTGCAGAGAGTGCCTCTCAAAAGAGTAAATACTCAAAAAATGATTTACTCCCAGGAGCATACTTCTCAGCTGTGTAAATGATTCAAACCTACCGGTCCCTGTCCTTCAGTCTTTTCTCAACCAGGAAGGCCCACCAGAGCTTGGGTGAAAGAGGTCCTCAAACAGAGAGGGCTGTGTGCGCCCAGGATTGTGACCAGCAGCCATTTTCTTCATCCTTCAGGGAGGGTGGGGTGGGTCTTCCCTTTTCTCCTTCTTCTTATTTCCCCAGAGGCTGCAAGATTCCTGTCTTTCTTGACAGAAAGTGCCTCCTTAATGAGATCACAGCAGTCACCCATTGCCCATTTTTGTCCTTAAGCAGATCCAAACCTAACGTAACCAGCAGCGGTGGGAGCGGCAACTCTGAATAATGAAGTGTTCAGAACTGGTTTTCCAAAGATAAATTTCACGAGTATTTAATAGGCAAATAGCTCTAATTCTACCCAGGAGTAGAAAAGAATCGACTTTTTAGAGGCAGCTCTTAAGATACCTAGATGTGGAGTCTTGCCTATCTGAGCTCACGTTCGTTTTGTTCGTAGCCCATATGCTTTCCTGCTTCTCGGCTGAGAGACCTTGGCCAAGTGAAGTAACTTATCCAGGCCTGAATTTGCAACTGCATACAATCATAATAATACTGAAAAGGCTGATGTGAAAATTAAAATGAAATAAGGATGTTGGGGCGCCTGGGTGGCTCAGGTAGTTCAGTGTCCAACTTCGACTCAGGTCATGATCTCACGGTTCGTGGGTTCGAGCCCCGCATTGGGCTTTGTGCTGTGATCTCAGAGCCTGGAGCCTGCTTTGGATTCTGTGTTTCCCTCTCTCTCTGCCCCTCCCCCGCTTGTGTTCTGTCTCTCTCTCTCTCTCTAAAAATAAATAAACATTACAAAAAAATTATAAGGGTGTCAAAGAGCTTTCCAAACTGGGAAGCGTAATAAGAATGTTAAAAAGCTGGGACACACATGGTCTTATTTTCACAAAGCAGAATCAGAATGTTCTACTGAAATCTATGTCCAAACTACCCTGATGTCCCTGGGTTTCACATTGACTTACGGCCTAGGACTCTGGTTTTCTGAACAAGTGCTCTGACTTGAACATTCATATTTGTAGGAGGAGAGCATGAGACAGAGAATCAAGTTCCTACAAGTAAGTGTGTGCTATTCTAGACCGTGAAATATCCTGGACTCCTCACCCTCTAAAATCCAGGGAAGATACTTGCTCATTGGCAAGGGTGCTAAGTGGCTGCTGTTTAGTGCAGGCAAAGGACTTTGATCACCACCACCAAAGGGTGTCACACTGAGTCCAGCTGTTGTGAAGGTTTTGACTCACTTCCAAGTGACTGGGAAGAACACCAAGATCCTTCCACTGAGATTTGCAAACAGGCCCCCGAGCAGAGTAGTGCTCTCTGCAGAGACTGCAACTTCACAGAGCTGTGGGAGAGTCATGGGGTAGCACCAGAGAGCTCACTATCCTAAGCCAACAGGGAACTCACTGGGTAATTTGGGCAAGTCACTTAACTTCTCTCTGGGCCTTAGTTTTCTCATCTGTAGAATGAGACAGGTGCACTGCATGGTTTCTTAATGTCTAGTTCATCGATCAGTGGCTCCTTGCCCTGCTTTCTAGCTTCCAAACCAAACCTCCTCTTTCTAAGTAACATGCTTCCAGATCTATTTCTCACTGTACAAAAATCTAATGTAGCTCACAATCAAAGGTAACCCCCTGAAACTTTTTTCTTTTTGCCTTTTAAAACCAAAGAAGAAAGAAGGCAGTACCCACAAAAGGTTATATAAGTAAAAGCTATACTTCTTTTGGGTGATATTTTAAAATTATCTGGGCTATAGAAAAATGGTACCTTTTGATAAAGTTGCAAGACTCCTTATATTTCACCCAGATCATATATATATATATATATATAAGAGAGAGAGAGAGGGAGAGGGAGAAAGAAGAGAAGAGAAATATTTCTAGGTGACGCTTTAAGAGTAATTTCTAATTTAACAATATGACATCAGTTTTAAATTGTCAATTAATGCCCTTAAAATTAAGAGTAAAAAAAATTAAAAGTAAAAATCTCCACAAATGCTCTACTCAAAGTAGGGCTTCTAATACAGCAAGAGTGTCTGACTCTATTTAGCTGACCATGTTTCAAAGTAAAGCAAAGCAAATGT